GAGGGGAGGGGGAGGGGCTTATGGGGGGATACAAAATGAATAAAGTGGAATTAATAAAAAATTTAAAAAAACAAAGCAAGGGAGGGTGGGAGTGGGAGGGAATGAGGGAGCGGGATACAGCTGGGATACAGAGTTATAAAATGTAACTGATAAGAAAAAAATAAAATTATTAAAAACAAACAAACAAACAAACAAACAAAAAGAAACACCCATCTAGAGAAAAACGAAACAAACTCAGATTCATTATGACATGCTTTTCTCCTCAGGTAAACTTTAAATAAAGTCACTAGTTTGAGGTGACACAACTGCGTTCGAGGGAGCTGCTTGTGACTGGAGATGGCAGTGTAAAGAAAATGCAAACTTCCCAGGAAATGTCAGACACCAGTAGTCAAAGACAGCCAGTGCCTGTCATTTGCTGAGCTTTAGGAAGACTATTACCTGTCACAGTTCATTTTCAACCTCCATGGGATGAGGGTGTCTTACCTGCACATTACAAGAGAGATTGGATGTGGAGCAATTAGGTACATGGGGGCCAGCTGGCTTGGTATCTGACCCACATCGTTCCCACTATGTCCCAAGGCCTCCTCTGTGATGTTATTCTGATGGATGCTACTCTCTTTCCTAATTGTCTATACTCGATTAACAACGAATTCAAATACATGACACCTTATTTCCATCCCTGCTGACGGGAATGAAGCAGCAGTTGTTTGTTTTGAGACAAAGTTGGTATTTCCAGTTTGATAGAATTAATTAAATCGGTTTAAAAACATTTGTGTTCTAGTAGCAGTGTTGTCTATATGACCAGAGTATTCAGTTTGATTAATGCATAAAATACCGACTGAGATCAAGTGTTTAGGTTTTCGGAGTCCAAGCTGGGAGGAGAGAAGAGAGGAGCCAATCGGAATATAGAGCCATTTAGGACCCTTCGGCTTTAGGCCTTCTGTCCATGGAAAGTTCTGGAGACTCTGATCCATGCCACCTTTCCCATCTCCTTCCTCAGTATATATAGGAACACATACAGAGATGTACTAGTTTCCTCCCACCACGAGGAAGGAAAAAACGCCCAATGGGTCATTTGTTTTTAGCTATCAATACATTTAAAGGGACACATGCAAATGTAAAGAGAAAGCACGTAAGTGCCATCCCTGCTCTCAACTTCAGAATCATCTCAAACATCTTACTTCCTTTTCCCACCGAAGTAATCGAAAAATCCACTTCATAAAAAAAGCTTACTTCTCTCTTTTACTATACACAGTGCCCTCCCGCCCCAACTTTTACTGCAAGGATAGAATAGGCCAGTCACCCTCTCCATCCCAAAGATGACGGCTGGACTCAGCTGGGACTCTTTGTAACAGTCTTACTTTTAGGATAACCCCTACAGCTGAAAATTATCCACCTTACTTGCTTTACATGAAATTGCGCTTTCCCGAGAACGTCAGAGCTAAAGAAACAAGCAGATCACACAGGGCAGATGGACCACCGGCTCCTTGCTGAAGAAATGCTGAGATCTAGAGAGCTTAGTAGTGGTAGAGGCACTGCCAGATGTTTACAAGGCGCACACGTGCACACAGTATGTACACACCCAGGTGTATGTATGTCAGGCTAGAAGCCGAGCAGTCTCGGACAGGAGCAGGGATGAGGAGCGTCTGTACAAGGCCCAGCCCCTGCTCCCTTCAGAGAATCTAACTTGAGAACCCCACAAAACACATTTCACAAGTACCGGAAGTCAGCAACCCAAGTACAGACTGAAGTACTCCAGCCCGACAGCCAGCTCTCCCCAGTCACAGACTACACTAATTCTATTTTGCTAATTGCCATCTTGGGCATGCACCAAGTTATTAAGCAGTGACAAAAACAGAGCGAGGATAAATGTATGTGGCAGCACCCACTGTTTTTCCTCAGCACTAGTTCCAACGACTTGTTTGCATGTTAAATGGAACACGGGGATTGACAAAATGTTTCTGAATGGTTTTCAGAAGCGCTGCCAGCTTTGAGATCACCTTTGCAACATTATCCTGCTCTTCAGAAAATACTTCCCCTTCCTCGGAGGAGGCAGGCTGATTTTCGGAGCAGATCTATATGTCAGATGCAAGCTTTCCCAGGAACGACAGTCATCTAGGACGCTGCAGAAGGCAGCGTCAGCAGAACCTGTGGGAAGTCAGACACCAGCCCGCTTTGTCCCACCCACCCAGACATTCTCCCCCTCTCATCTGTACCTTCCGTGTGGCAGCTGGAAGAGAGGATGGTGTTTGGAGGTCTGAAGATATAAGGCAGGTAACGAGAGAAGCATTTCATCTTCCAAAGGAAAAAGAAAATTCTAAATGAAAAACCAGTCTCCCGAATCCATGAGGATTCTCTCGGCCTTGAAAGCTGGCTACATCACCAATATGTTTATGTAGGTTCTCTCCCAGATCTGCGGAGCTGGGGAGCCCAAGGAATAACTGGAGATGGGTCCCATTTTGCCATCAGCGCCAGGAAGCAAAGCCTTACATTTCTGCAGGCAGCTCAAACTCAGAAGCCCCCAAGCAAGCTGGGATAGAGCCTCTTCATTGGCTGAAGCTCCTCCGAGCAGGATTGCTGAGTAAGTGAGTCCTGCCTGTAAACACACGCTGAAATGTTCTGCCTGAAGCCTCCACCTTTCCCGTGTGTCTGCCTCTCACTATTAGCAACGCAGCCGGACACAGGAGTGCTGAGGATAAGTGACCATCTCCTATTTAGCTGAAAGATCAGATTAAACAAAGACAGCATAGTGTTCTGCCCTGGAGGGGTTGGCTGCTCAAAGGAGCCACCCGCAATGCCACGGATCTCAGGAATATTAAAGTACAGTGCAATGAAATGGGTCTCTGTCCTGAGCTTAATCTAGATTTAGTTCTTTTTTATTTTTTTTTTTTAAATTCTAAAGCTCAAACAATAGGGCCATTTATCATTTAGGTGAAGCCAAAAGCTGGGTTGAGCAGTCAGGGCTAAGAGAGAAAGAGTCTGTGCTCTAGGACAGCATCCCCCTGTGCCCGACCCCCGCTCCCACCCCTGGCCCCAGCCACAGCATTGAGGCATGAATTTGGTCCTGAGCTGCCCCCTGTATGAATATAAAGCCACAACGCAAGGGAAGAGGCCAACTCAAGGGAACTGACCCTTCAACAGCTCACAGCCCGTATAACAACAGAAAAATACAGAAAGCAAGTTAACCCAGGAATTATACAACTTTTCCAAAATTGAGAGGGAGAATATGAAAATACATAACTGATCCCTGGACGCAGATTTGGAGTTTGCTTAGTTTGGGTGCATGAAATGCATGACTTCGGAAGCCGTTCCACTGGAAGGCAAGCAAGCACCGAGCTGCAGCCTAGGATTTATAAGTTCAGTCAAAGGCACTATTGTATATGACGGAGAGAAAGCGCAAATGCCCTTTGTGCTGCATTCAGAGACACTAGGGAATGATTTAAATAGTGAAAGAAAGCAGATATTCCCCCTGAGTGGGGCTTTTAAAAAATAAGATTTAAAATAAGAACATGCCTTGGAAACCTCAGAACAGTTTTTAAGGCATTATGGGCTGTCTGCTGTACAGAGTATTTAACTGAGCATTGAAGAAGCTTGCTTCTATGCCTAGGAGCGACTATCACAGAGGAATTGTAAAGCAAGATGGAACATGAGAATGCAAACAGACACCTGGGCTGGCCCTGCCCCCAACTTCTGGTCTACCACGACCTAAACACAAAGTGTTGGCAGAGAGAGCCAGACCATTTAGTACTAACATCACCACAAAACCTCTTCCAACCCACGGCTCAGTATGGTAGGCCATTCCTAGTGCAGTTTGAAAATCCGTGGCTGAGCTTCTCAACCTCTGGGTCACAGTCCTTCTGAGGATCAAACAACTTTTCCACAGGGGTCACATATCAGATGTCTGGCATATCAGATATTTGCATTATGATCTATTACAGTAGCAAAATCACAGTTATCAAGTAGCAATGAAGTAATTTTCTGGTTGGGGGTCACCACCACATGAGGGCTGTATTAAAGGGTCGCAGCATTAGGAAGTTGAGAGACACTGGCTTAAGCGATGTAGTTAGCCCTGTGGATGCTGTCAAATTCAGAGCACAGTAGCATGGAGTGGGTGGGGGTAGGTTCTTCCTGGGAGACACTTCGCATTCAGCTTCTGATCGGCAGGGGAGGCAGAGTCTGGCCACTTAACACGAGGCTTCTGCTTCTCCAGCTGTCAGATGGGAAGAAAACAAGGTTTGGCATGGGTATTCTTGGAAAAAGTGAGAGTGTTAAGTATAAAACACATAGCACGTTGCAGGCATTTGATAGACTCCCACATGGCTGCTGCGCCAGCTCAGTCATCTATGACCACGTTCCCCTCCAAGAGCCTCTGGGTGGTGGGTGTGGTTAACACAGGTGGCTTTGGAGCTTGACAGCCTTTGACGTTAGACCCTACCTTTGACAGGGAATCACAGTGTGACCTTGGGCAACTTGAAGCCTTATGGCATGCTGATAATAATAGAATAGTAATAGAGGATAATAATAGTAGAGGATAATAACAGAATCTCATTCACTACTGTGAGGGTGAGTAGAGTAGTGAGTGGAAAGGAATTAGCACATTGTAACTTGGCAAGGCTATGCATGGCCTCCAGGGACTTGTACCTGAATAGGGCAACAGGGGAATGAAGACCGGAAAAAAGACAGACGGACAGACGGAAAGCTAGAACTGGGTGGTCTCAGTTCTTAACTAAGGAAATCTCAATGCCTTTTAAGTTCAGCATGTTATTATTATATTGAGTGTGCCAGAGAGGCTGGGTTATTATGTACAGGTAAACAAGAAGGCAGGGTACATGGTATACAGCTGGATCAAAGAGACAGGCTTTAGCTAGTATTTGGTAGGAGCAGTCTTCAGGAGGTAAATGTCTTGGGGGCGGGTGGAGAAAGCTATGGCGAACATGCTCTGTATTCTGTCAGCCTCCACACACCAACCACAAGGGAAGGCTTCGGCATTTCCCTCTGCGCTTCACCTTGAGGGAGAAGGCTTTGCCATTTTCTCCATGAGTCTGAGGCTTTGGGATACTTGACATGGTGGTGCTTATGAAACCACACCCAGACACTTGGGACTCCACGCCGACTGGGATTCCCTGCTCCCTGCAGCAAGTGCTTCACAAGTTTGATCCTCTGTATCTTAGTGAGAGAAGAGTGCTGTGGTTTCTTGCCAGACCTATACGACCATATCAGAGACATCTCCAGGGAGATATCGATGTCTAACTCATTGGAACCAGCACCTGGCACAAAGCAGATGCTCATCAAGTTTGAGTCAATAAGCAGATGAATGGATAAATCAGGATATATAGGTAAAACCCTTTGAAAGATATTTTATTCCTCCTTTTCAGAGGTCCTTCTGTTACATGAATGAAATGAATTTGAGCCTATGAGAAAATTGACATAGATCGTTCAACTAAAACCATTATGGGAGTCATGGATACAAAAACTTCTACTCTGCACTATAGTGACAGACACACAGTAGGCTTGCATGTAGGAGGTACCTTCTGAATCAACAGCAGCAAGTATTTCGAGAGAAAGAGAGAACTGTTTTATTCCTATCTATCTTCAGAAAACTAACTAAAAACAAAATGAAAACAAAACAAAACACTGCCTCATCCATCAGAAGGGAGAGACCCCATAGGCCTGGGTTCAAGTCCCAGGAAAGCCACTTCCATGCCCTTTGAGTTCAGTTGAGAATAAATTCTAACACAAATTAAAAATGGCTGATTTTGTGCCAGGCCCATTACTCCCACCTGCCCATGTGAAGGCTAAAAAGGGGAGAAAGAACAGGACCCTTCCTTCAGGGGTTGACTCTAATGCAGACGTTGTGCTGTGCATCCTTTGGACTGCTCCATGCTTTCCTGCCTCTCTTCCGCTTTGATCCTCTCAACAACCCCATTCTACAGAAGAGAGAACATGCTGGGAACACACGACGATTTATTCAAAAAGGAACTTGATGGCACTGGAGTCATCTTGTGAAGCTTAGGTTCTGGCCTTCAGACCCTCTGGGGATAACAAAATTCTTTGAAGCTTCAAGAGCCCGTTCAGTGAGGAGTTTAATTTCATGCTTTGCTCGTATGGGCCAACAGAGTTAAAAGTCCCAATGTCTTTGTCCTAAATCATGCTCCTTGCTACTTTTATCTAATAGCTTAAAGCCACTGAGATGGCTCCTCAGGCCTTAGATGTAATGAGGGTACTGAGTACAAGATACCATCTCTGCTATTAAGGATTACATAGTCCAGATGAGAGCAGACTAACACTGTCTCACGGATGCCATGATTGCAGGAAGAGGGTATGAGGAAATTCATTGGCATCATAAAGCCCTGATTCCTAACGTTAGACATCTGCACTCCTGCCTTAGGTGCTGTTTACAAATGGCCACTGTCACTGGAAGGCACAACAAATGAAGAGCTGGCATATAAATCTTAAGTGGAATTCCTTCTCATGTCCCTGATGTTAGCACAGAGAGAAAGGTTATAAGTCTTAAGAAGAGATGGCAAATATCCTTTCCCAATCTGTAGACTGTAGTTCTGTTCTGGTGACAGTGTCCTTTGCTTTACAGAAGCTTTTCAGTTTCATGAGGTCCCATTTATTGATTGTTGATCTTAGAGCCTGTGCTGTTGGTATTCTGTTCAGGAAGTTGTCTCCTGTGCCAATGAGTTCAAGGCTCTTCCCCACTTTTTCTTCTAAGCGGTTTAGTGTGTCTGGTTTTATGTTGAGGTCTTTGATCCACTTGGATTTTAGTTTTGTGCAGGATGATAAGTATGGATCTATTTGCATTTTTCTACATGTAGACATCCAGTTAGACCAGCACCATTTGTTGAAGATGGTATCTTTTTTTACATTGTATGGTTTTGGCATTTTTGTAAAAAATCAGGTATCCATAAGTGTGTGGGTTTATTTCTGGGTCTTTTATTTGATCCCATTGATCTACCATTCTGTTTATATGCCAGTACCATGCAGTTTTTATTACTGTTGCTCTGTAGTACAACTTGAGATCAGGGATGTAATTCCTCCAGAAGATCTTTTATTGTAGAGGATTGTTTTAGCAACTGTGGGTTTTTTGTTTCTCCATATGAAGTTGAGAATTTTTCTTTCAAGGTTGGTGGTGGAGGTGGAAACCAGAGTAGAAAGAAATAGCCAACAGGAAAATTACAGGCTTGGGAGGAAGGAAAGTTAAAGTGATCCATCTTAGGTTCCACTTGAGAAGGTTCTGGAGTCCCACAGAGTAGAGTCCTGAGAGAAATTCCCCCAGATGTTTTAAGCCATGGAGACTCAGACATCAAACAGGAGAGCAAAAAGCAAATCGAGTTTCTTGACTATTATGTTAAAGAACTGACTGCTCCAAGCTTGTGGATGGACCTCTGGGGAGATCAGGAACATTCACTCTACCAAGTCCCAGATGAATCCCATGCTTCAGGGCCCATGGACTCCTGGCCACCTGACGGCCCGCTTGATCTCACGGGAAACATTCCTGTTCTCAGTGAAGCTGGAGCCTAATGGGATGCTTATACAAGAATCCTCCTCTAGCATGCTTTTACAACCCCCTTCAGAAAAAGATCCATCATTA